AGTAATGAGAAAAGCTAACACTGTTTGAAATAAACATGTGCACAATTCAAATATTTTATATCCATTCACTGCATTTAATTATTTTATATATAGTCTTATAATTGTAATTGTTTTGTTTCTAGTTTTAAATTCACATATTTAAAGATTGAAATTAAATATTTTAAATAGAATACTCGTATTAGGGTGAAAAATCATTCTAATTGCCAAAAAAGGTCAATACAATCTCAACCTCTCAATATACAGGGTGTCCAGTGCAGAACTGATAAAGCAGTTTTGAGGTAAAATAAAAGAGTAATGGGAGTACATAAAGCAGAAAGTTTTTTTTTCTAGAGGTTAGCATAACATACCATTTAGAATACTTATGTTTTGAAAACAATATCTGGAAGATGGGGGCTGTTAGCTGCAACACACTGTTGGAGTCGTTCTCAAAGGAGGGAGTAACCGTAACAGTGAGTTCCGATCGCTATGCTGCAATGTTGCAAAATTTCTTGCAGCCCAGGATGGAAAACATTGTTGAAAATGAAGCATTGGGAGATGTGTGGTTCCAGCAGGATGGGGCTACAGCTCACACAGCCCGAATGTCACTCAATGTTTTGAAACGCATGTTTCCCAGAGGTCTGGTGTCTCTGTTCTCTGAGGGGTGATTTACACTGGCCTGTGAGGTCGCCTGATTTGAGCACTTGCAATTTCTTTCTTTGGGGACATCTAAAAGAAAGGGGTTCAGAAGTCACCCTCACACCCTACTACAGCTAAGGGAACAGATTATTACAGCAGAGGTTATGGCCATACCTCGCCATATGTGTGAACGTGCTGTAGGAAACTTCCAAGAACAACTCCAACAGTGTGATGCAGCTAACAAACCCCATCTTCCTGATATTGTTTCCAAAACATAAATATTTTAAATGGTATGTTAGGCTAATCTTGAGGAAAATAAACTTTCTTCTTTATGTGCCTCCATTGCTCTTTTATTTCGACTCAAAACTGTTAAATCAGTTCTGTCCCACCCAGTATAAGCTAGCTAACACATTTAAATTGTATATTGTAATCAATATATAACAAATAGTCAATAGTGAGACTACTTATAGCCTTATAAGAATTAGCTAAGCTGCTAGCTACGTACAATGTATTGCACTCTTGATGCCTCTGTACCAAAAACATTCCATTTATTGGAACCTAATACACACTGAAGGCAACAAGTTTATATACCAATTTGTCATTCATAGTACATTTATACTAAACCATGAATAACAAACAATACCTCAATATAAATTAAAGACTTCCACTCAATATTTTTGAATTTATGAAAAAATCAAAAAAATCGAAAAAATAAAAAAAATCATGATTTTTTTTTATAAAAAAAAATCAAGTGATTTAATCACATGATTTAATCATTTTGATTTAATCATTGCCAACCCTGGCTTTGAACGTTTTAAAATTAAGTTTTATTTCAAGTGTGTGTTCCCAGGGGTAATGCAGGATGCTGTTCTTTTGGGACTGGTGCTTAATAAATAGCATTTGAAATTTTTTCAACGATGCCATATTATAGTGCTTGCAAAAACCTTTAATATGTGCCCAAACTTGTTAATGAAATATTTCATGGTAAGAAGTTATCAATGCAAAATGAAAGAAGCGTCCTGTATTGCCCCGTTTGTTGGTAATACAGCGGGATTTGCAACTATCCATCCCATATAGTTATAGTTGATACAATACACCATCTCTTCACATTATGCAGTGTCAGCCCAAATTGTAAAATTTACCAAAGTTCAAGATTATTTATTAAAAGTATAGCCTGAAAACGCTGGCAAATTGTATCCTCTAAAAGAGAAAATTTTTTTATTTAAAGGGACCGGCTACCCTCGGAAAAACTTCTACAGTTATTACCCGATCATCATGAAACTTCACATACATACGTAAAATGTAAAAAAATAACATTTTGCTCATATGAATTTTTTGAAAAAATTGATAGAAAACGTGAAATTCATAGAAAACGGCTAAAAAGGGGGTACCTACTTTAGAAAATCTATCTCCTCCTACAAATATCATCCTACAACATCGAGACACGTTTCATTCGATTTGTAAAGACCATACCTATGATCTCTGAGTACCATTTTTCTCATTTTCCCTTAGTTTTTTTTTTATGCATGTTTTATCCCATTTTTCTCATATTCCCCCCTCCCCCCTTTTTCCCCCATATAAAAAACAAACCAGACAGAAATTCAAAAAAATGATCGTCAGTTTGATAGGTATGGTCTTTACAAATTGAATGGTATATGTCTCATTGCTGTAGCTTGAAAACTGTAGGAGGAGATACGTTTGCCGTGAGAGCAGTAGAGGTTTTCACCACGCCCAAAAAACTGGCACGTGGCACGTAAAATGGAGTTGTAACGTAGCCTAGATACCGTAACTAAGCCTCAAACCAAGTCAGGAAGGCATAGAGCAACTGGTTGTACACCTCTCACCTCGCTGTCATGATGGGCACTAACTGCTTTGGCGACAGCAGGCTGTATTTATAGTCGCGTCTTTGAAATACTTCCATAGGGATTACTGAAGGACGCCCACTACCACCCCCTGTTCGACGGTACGTTGCATTTGTAAATATTCACCTAGAAAGATAATTCTGGTACCGTTCGTCAAAAAGTAAGCTTTAAGATGAGTATAAGCACCGGATAATGCCATAATTAGCCGCTATACGTCAGATGTTCCTTTTTAGTGTGTCCAGCCTTCGAATTAATCCCATAGACTTTACTGAAGGGCCCCTAAAACAGATCCCCTTTGGGGAGCTGTCACGAAATCTTTCTTTGATGTAGAGGGATGATTCTGGTACCGTTCAATGCGTCAGAAAGTAAGCTTTAAGATGAGCACAAAAACCAGAAAACGCCAAAATTGAAAATTTTAGGGTAGCCGGTCCCCTTAAGTCTGACATTTTTTCTTGCAATGTTACCACTAAGTACCACTGAGTAAATGAGTACTAAGTACTCATTTACTCAGGGTAAAGTATTTTAATATTTTGTGCGTCCATGATGGCTGAGATTTAATTTCTAGTGATCACAATGAACTCCATCTCCATTGCCATAGGGGCCATGCAGTAATAGCCATGGGTGTGTACTGGTATCTCTACTGCAGGTTCTCAAGAATGTTAGAGAATTTTTCATACAGGTTCCCAAGACTCTTCTTCAGAAAAGCAGATAATTGTTAGTAATAATGAAAGTACTTTGTTAGCAGAGTTGATCAACTACTTTGTCTATAAGTTAAGAATTCAAATAGGATAGAGTTAATGGATTATTTTGTGCATGATTCCTGCAATTGCAACTACTGTATTAATTACATTTATACTTTACCAGTGATAGCATGGAATTTGCAGCCAAAGAGGGGATTCATTAGCACCCTCGGCAAGAAAAATACATCCCACTTCCTTGCAAGGCACATGAAATGGAGTTTGCCTCAAAAGATTCATTGTTACAATTTTCCTGCTACCAGAATAGCACATGAGCTACACACCGTGATAATATTGGTTTAATTTCTCAGAATGCTATTGCTATCAAATGCGTTAAGTTAAATTTTAAGAAGTTAATTATTTAGTACCGTAAAATGGGGTAACTTAGACCACTTTTATTTTTATAAATGATGCCATTTTTTTACTAGCTAAATTAAACTTGAATTGAAACATGCAAAATACAGGTCTATACTCTAGCTCCACTCACCATAAATTGCTGGCTCCTGCCTCTCATAGTCTTTATGTAATTTAAAAAAAAGTGGTGGTCTTTGTTACCCCAGCTCTTGGGGTAATTTACGAATCGAATGATACGTGTCTCGATGTTGTAGGATGATATTTGTGGGAGGAGATAGATTTTCTGAAGTACCCCTTTTTAGCCGTTTTCTATGAATTTCGCGTTTTCTATCAATTTTTTTGAAAAATTCATAGGAGCAAAATGTTTTTTTTTACATTTTACGTATGTATGTGAAGTTTCATGACAATCGGATAATAACTGTAGAAGTTTTCCGTTTGCTAGGTCGGTCCCCTTAACCTATTAGATATGCAAACTTTTCAAATCTTTCTATTGTGTTATGTAGCCTCTGTATTAGGCCTTTAATGCTCATTGACAAAATTTTTCTATGTCAAATAGTTTTTGAGTTGTGGGGGTTTTTGTTAAAAAAACGAAAAGTGGTGTAAGTTACCCCGCCGGTCTAAGTTACCCCATTTTACGGTATTGTGCAATTGAAGGTATATTTGCTCACAAAGTGGTAAACTAATATTCCAACTTATGTTGGATGGTAAGATTCACTACCATGACGCACAATTTTAATTTATGTTTGCCTGTGGGCTGGAATTAGTTTATTATAGTACTTTAATTACATGGCCAGCCACTATTTTGAATGTTCAAGCTAACAGGCTACACCCAGGGAAATTAGTAACTTTTTCCAAATAGCAATACAATTTCTTCCCCTTTTTGCGAGCCATCCTGACCCCATTTGTTTTCTGAGATTTTGTGAACCATGTTGAGTGAATTGTGCAGGTCAAGATTATGACTTTTTATTGGAATTAATATTGAATTGAGAAACCCTGAAGAATTGAGATGCATGGTGATTGTTTCCTTTTCTGACTCCCTTCTAATGGAGACAAACTTGTGAATAAATTAGTTGGGAAAGAAAGATGGTTGAGCAGCTGGTGAGATAGACAAAATCAGCAGGGTGGTATGGTGGCTGGTAAGAAGGAATCCAAAAATGCTTGCTCTGAGCTGTGTAATTTCTGTAAAAAATGGCCATATTCCATTCCTCAACCACAAGTTGAAAGTAGTAAGGACTTAGCTTAGGTGGGCAAGGGTCTATGAACTTGAAAGCTTTGAAGCATCATAAGATATCAAAGAGGATATGGATTTATGGAATGAAGAATTGTTAATCAATTTGGAAGTTATGAACAATTAAACATACTTTTTTTAGAATGATTATTTGTACATACTGCAAACCAGTAGTTGGTTTTCTCTGATCTCCTGGAATTTCTACAGATTGTTACAGATTTTGTTAGTGTATATAATTTCTTGCATTGACTTCTTGAACTCTGGCTTTAATTTATATTAATAAAAAATTCTATTTACTAGTCTTGGCTAAGCCTTTAAGATATCATAATGGATGATAAAGGCAAAGATATCATAATGAATAATAGGATCAAGGATGATATGAATGATATGAAAGACTGCAGTGAAGTAAAGCCCATACTCTCCGATGATTCAGACCAGAGGAGCTGGTGCATTGAGCTGGACCCCACACAAATGCCGACCAGTGAATGCAAAGTTGAGTCTGATGGTAAGTTGCATATTCAACACCACTAATTGTCAAGAACAGTATGACACGATTAAAATAGTGTATAGATGATGATCAAATTCAAGTTTTCAATTTATTTTTTTCCTAATGTTTTAAAATAATGTTGATGCCTGTCAATGTGTTGATATCTTTCAATGTATTTATTAATTTGTGTAAGTTTTATCCAGCCACAGATTCTAGCGGCTCGTCTCTTCTCCCAGAAATGGTGTCGGTCTACATAAAGGAGGAGCCTACGGACGATAACTTTCCTGTGAAACAGGAATCTAACAAGGTTTGAGAAAAGATCAAATGGGTCAATCATTTCATTTATTGTTCAGTTGAAGGAAAGATCAAATGAGACACTCATATAATATTATGTTCAGTCCTTATAATATTTATTGATACTAGAGAGCTGCAAACAAAATATTCAAAATTGGCTGTCATTTCCAGGCAAAAGCTCCTCCATTTGACAACTGTGCACCAAAATTTGTGATGAATTATGTAATGAAAATTATTTCATGCTGTGAATTCATGTGTGAAGTGGTTATATTTATACATAATTGTGTTATAGTACATTCAAAAGTGTTTAAAATCCATAGAAATACTCAAAATTAATTTAAACAATATTAATAAAGGTGTAGCATTCTTCTTGGAATAATCTGAATTTTTGTATGTATTGATTGTACAATTGAATGCAATTTTGTATGTTCTAATGTTAATGTTGTCATTGAACAATTTAGTCATTGATGTCAATGTTAACAAGTGTTTCTGATGGTCAGCACACCCCACCTCCCTCATCTTACGGGCCATGCAAGGAGGAACCAAAAGATGAGACTTGGGACATACAGGTTTGTTGTTCCCATTTGGATTTTAAATGAAGATGCCTTGTAGAATCTTTATTGAGTTAATTATTATGAACAGCATTTAAATAAGTGATTTATAGACTAAAGGTATTCAATACCTGTATTGTAAATATCTTATGAGACATTCCTTCCCCTATGAGATGCATGTGTTTCATCCAACTACCTTTGAATTAAGGTTCAGAGAGATGGATCCTCATGAGGGTTAACATCAGACTGAATATTTATTTATTCAGAATATATTCATCTGTTTATCATTTATGCTGCTGCTTAACTGAGACTTATTCTCATAATATTGTTATGAGATTGTTAGCAATCCAAAAATTTAATTGCACAAAAAATTCTTTAATAATTGGTTCATTTTGGTTAAATAAATGGTTCATTTTGGTTCATAATTGGTTCATTTTGGTTCAAGAATCAGTTAATTTCAGTTTTTGGTTCAAGAATCGGTTTATTTCAGTTCAATAATGGTTCATTTTCAAATTAGCATTTCCTCTGAAAATATTTTGTTTCTGTTTTAGCAAACTTGTAAACGTGAGCCTCCCAGCCCCGGGTGTGATGACCAGCAGGCTTCACCTCCCCCGTCTCGTGTGCCGGGTGAAGATCAGAGCGATGCTGGTGATGCACCCGCAGCTCATCAACCTGCATCACATGTTTATGTGATGCCTGGTCTAATGGTGGGTGGTGGTGTGCTGCTGGTGGGTGGTGGTGTGCTGCTGGGATGTTGATGTGCCTGATGGTGGGTGGTGATGTGCTGTTGGGATGTTGATGTGCCTGATGGTGGGTGGTGATGTGCTGCTGGGATGATGATGTGCCTGATGGTGGGTGGTGGTGTGCTGCTGGGATGATGATGTGCCTGATGGTGGGTGGTGGTGTGCTGCTGGGATGTTGATAAATTTCAGAAGTTTTGTATCATTGAATTTAATTTCCTAATGGTTTCTTCACACTGCCTGACTGGAAGTGATGTAGCCTCATGTATATAAAGGAAATATATTCCAACTGAATGTAATATTCCCATTTTAAAATATTTGCTTGTGTCAATCTGCTTGTGTCAGCATTTGAGCTGGTATGATTTCTGATGCCTGTTTATTTGCAATTATTTTTATTATTATTATGAATAATAATAAATAATTCAATCTTCAGATTTTTTTATCAGTGAAGTTTTGAGGGAAGGGAAAATCTTTCTCATAAGGATGAAAAATATACAATTCTTGGCTACTTTGATATTGTAAAAGGCACAAAATACTCATGAGGGAGTGAAATTACAGTAATTAATCATTAAAGGAGTTGTAGGCATAGTATGCAAGTTCTAATAAAAAAATACCTCCTTATTTATTACTTGCTTTAATTATGCCAATAATTGAAGTAGCAAAGTTGTGTCTGAGTTTGCCGGCCTCTGAAAATTTTTTCCCATTTCCATCAAATAGAAATGTGTTCAGGAACTGAGTTTTCAGTGAAACTTTTCCTCAGAAGAAGTTGTCTAGAAAATTAATGTCTACAACTCTACATGAACATGTCTATTAGCTATTAATGTCTATTCTGTGATTATATAATTATACCTATGTCTGATCAATTAATAATTTATATGTCTACAACTCAACACTGTATGAAAATGTCTTCAATTTTAACATGTGAATCTAAAGTCTTTAAATTAAAGTTTGTGTGGACAAATTAGGAACCCGTGATTGTATATTTTACTTGTAAATAACTTTTCAAAGACAAAATTTTTATTGGCAAGTTAGGTATCCTCTATAGCAGAAGCTCCGACTCGTACTCCATTACTTCTAATGAAGCAATGTGCTAATGCCACACAATGTCTGCTTGCACTGCTAAACTGAAGTCTTGTCAGTCTGGCGTCTCATTATATTCATTATAATTATAACATATGATATCCAGACACTGACTCAGGTCTAGTACTTACCCATCAATCTCCATCAGGTAAAGTGAATATTACGTCTCTATTAGTAATAACAGATGATCATATCTTATAATTTAATTATAATGATGCCAGATTGACACCGGACAGAAGCAATAAGCAAGACCCAGACAATCAGTCTGTTTGGTCCCTGGAAGTTTAATGGATAATGAAGCCAATGCCAACTACGGTATGTAGTCTTGTTATGACCTCCTGGCTGTCGTTTAGTGATTCCTGGAATTTAAAAGCAAAGAAAATACCACAAAAATTCACCATATCTTTATAAGAGAAAACGTTTCGGAGTCCAGCTCCATCGTCAGTTCAAACCACAAAATTCTGTTCAGAAAAAGTTCAGTCCTAGAAAATTTACTTTACTAATTGATTTATTTGTGTTTCTAGGACTGAACTTTTTCTGAACAGAATTTTGTGGTTTGAACTGACGATGGAGCTGGACTCCGAAACGTTTTCTCTTATAAAGATATGGTGAATTTTTGTGGTATTTTCTTTGCTTTTAAATTCCTGGTTAACTTGTGATTCAAGCAAACAAGTGATTTTAATACTTAGTGATTCCTTTTGTGCACCAGACAGGCGGGGGTTATAAATCAAGAGTTTAAAAGCAAACAAAATAGCCAGAAAATTCTCCATTTCTTAAAAATTAAAATGTTTCCGAGTCCAGCTTTATCATCAGTTCAAAACCTAAAACAAAGGTATAAACAATTAGCAAATAAATTCACATTGAAGCATGTGAATTTCACATGCTTCATAAATAAATTCACATGTGATGCTCTCCATCTGCTGCCTGTCATGCACAATCTTTCAAGGCACACTAAACTATTCCAGTTGTTATTCTGTTGCACTAGGTATGCTTCAGAATCTTGGTTAACTAGATATAGTGGAACTGCCTTCGAGGGTCTTTCTTCTACGCCTTTTAATGTTGCCAGTATAAATTGCCATTGTACATGTTATTATTGTGTAATTTTCATAGGACAGCTCAAATTGAAAACAATAAATTAAAATTTAGTTAAGATACAAGTCAGTTTTTCTTATGTTTTGAATTTTCAGTCAGACCATAAACAGATCTGAGTAAAGATGGAATCCACTTGATAATTAAAAATTGTCAAGTTGATATTAATGTATTATAGTAATCCAATCCATGGAATCGGTATCCAATCATGGCCACTATAGGTATTTGACTAATGCAAAAGATAATTTGATTGGAATTATTTCTATATATATATTAATAATTAATATATATACATATTATTTGTATAATTAATATATATTAATAGTTAATATATTCTCCCTTGCTGTGTGAGCAGTGCAAGGGTAAAGGGCAACCCGCACCTGCAGGAGATCCAGAAGACGCTGGTGGCAGCGGCGGTGTCTCTGAAGCGTCCAGCTCCCAGCAGCGCAGCAAGAAGCTGCCGTATTATCAGCGGGGATTTGTTAAAGATGAAATAGCCACACAAATTCAGCTGTCCCTTCTAGAGGATCAGACATCAAGTGAAGTTCCCTGTCCTGATTGTGGATTTAGTTGCAGTTCAGAGCGTCATTTTGTGCGGCATATGCGTGATGAACATTCTAATGAAAAGCCATATCATTGTTTACAGTGTGAATATGTTTGTAATACTAAATACAAACTAAAAGTGCATTTATTTTCAAAGCATTCATCACAGAGGCCCCTACACTGCATGGAGTGTGAATTTGCCTGTGTCACTAATCGCGACCTAAAACACCATGTCCTTTATAAGCATTCTTCTGTAAAACCTTTTCACTGCACAGATTGTGATTATTCTTGTGTTACTAAACGTGATTTAAAGAACCATGTATTCTATAGGCATTCTTCTGTTAAACCTCTTCATTGTTCCAAGTGCGATTATTCATGTGTCACTAGAAAAAATCTCAAGAACCATATTCTGTTTAAACATACATTCGAGAAGCCCATTAGGTGTTCTGAATGTGAATATTCATGTGTGACCACAAGCCAACTGAAGAAACATGTTATGTACAGGCATACAGCTGTAAAACCTTATCCCTGCTCAGAATGTAAAAGTTCTTTTGTCAGTAAAAGCAAGTTGAATAGGCATTATCTCCTAAGACATTCTTCTTCGAAGCCATTGTTAGAGAAATGTTTTAAATGCTCTGAGTGTGACTATACTTGTGTTCATAGATATTCTCTAAAAGTTCACACTCTTACCAAACATGCATCAGGTAAGCCTCTTAGCTGCTCTCAGTGCGAATATACTTGTGCCTCTGAGCTTCAACTTAAGAAGCATGTTGTTTATAAGCATTCACTGGAGAAGTCTGTTCAATGTCCAGAATGTGAATACACTTGTAAGAGTAAGAGTGGGCTGAACAGGCATGCTCTTCATAAGCATTCAAATGAGAGACCTGTTAGTTGTACTGAATGTGAATATTCATGTGTGACTAAGGGAGAGTTGAAGATGCATGTTCTATTTAGGCATTCATCGAATAAGGCTATTAGATGCGCGGAATGTGACTATTCCTGCAAGACTAACGGACAGATGAAGAGTCATGTTCGTTATAAACATTCTACGAAGCCTCTGAGTTGCGTGGAGTGTGATTATACTTGTGTTGTAAAGAAGAGCTTAACTCGACACATTCAACTCAAACATTCCTGATGAGCTTCATTGCTTCTCAATGTATTCATTTAAAATTTGGAGTTGTTATTACCTAGTTAAATTTTAGTCTCATTTAATTCACCAGAGACTTTCATGTCCACACAAAGCTTGATTTGAAGTGAAGTTGCTGTCATCTATTTCTTGATGTGGTTTGATGTTCTTAATGAGATCTCGTTTAAGAAAAATGTCCTACTTAAGGTACCTACGACAATTTGTTGAAATTTAAATTATTTTCCCATATCATGGCACTAGTGAATGTTGATGCTAACATTCTTAACCAACGATTAGACATTTGAGTTTTTTCTACTGCTAAGCAATTCAAGTGTATGTAAGGATAACTTTTGTTTAAATATGTACATGTACCAGACACAAACCGCAGCATGGACAAGTTGTTAGGATTACATAAATAGGAGCTTCAAGTTGTGTGATTTAGACTCTACCGATGGTTGTTAGAATAATGCAATGCATTAAACTGATGTGAAGTGTTTGAGATTTTGCCACTTCTGTGCGAATTTTAGACTTAAACAGCAAGCTGCAGATCTTAAACTGAAATTCACTGCCCTAACTTGCTGTGCTTAACCATCCAACCTTCACTGCAGGTTTTGACCAAAATTTTCAGCACTATCTGGTTCACTTGCTTCTCCAATCTGGATGATTCTAACCATGTGGCCCTGAGTCCCCAACCGCTGAGCTCGGGGTGTCTGACTGCAGGTCTCAGTTGTGGGGTTAAGTTATTATGTAGGTAGGATTCCTTACATAAAGTTATTATGTAGGTAGGATTCTGTACATTTCTTTTCTCTCCCTCTCTCTCGGCGGCTGACGTCCCGTGTAAGCGACCTCTTGTTCGAGTGGCTTCGTTTCTGTTGCTTTTCACCTGTCCCTCCTTTTCAACTGTCCCTCCTTTTCACCTGTCCCTCCTTTTCACCTGTCCCTCCTTGTCACCTGTCCCTCCTTGTCACCGGTCCCTCCTTGTCACTTCGTCTCTTTGAGATGCAAACGCTGCTTCTTTCAAGCCAGCTTCAGCGGGCTGGACATCTGAGACCTTTAGTCCCTTGTGGGTGATGATTAATTTGAGATTTTGATTGAGACCTTTCGACTCACCTTCGATGTTATATTTTGACCTCCGGTGCAAAATAGTTTGATAGCAGAAGCGCTAGCAAACCATTCTACTGGTACTACTAACTTTTGGCCATCCAAAAATAAAAAAAACGTACATTTTCTCAACAACCAATAGATTTTGAAGAATTGTCTGGTATGGTTCTATATTGTATGTTTGTTAGTTCAATGCAACAGATCAGATGTGAAGTGAACTTGGCTGTGCATGTGAACATGGCTGCTATATTATTTTCAAAAACAAAAGCTTGGGTTAATTTGAACAACAAAATATGAAATTAAACTATTCCATTATGTTAAGAAAGCTTGGATTTAGTATTTATTCATACCATTTGAGCTTGTAGCCCTAGGGACAGGTTTTCAATCTGAATACATGATTCGGAAGCCATAAACTGCCAATGTAAGTTACCAGGTTTTAAATTTTGCCATCAAATGTCATATGAGTTGTCTCACTTCCCAAGTTTGGGTCAACATCCATGCACACCCCATGTTGTGCTTCATATGCTTCAATGATGAAACCCAATAACACGAGTATTCTATAACTTGGATTTTTTGTTTATTTGATAGGAGGAAAATGTATTTTTGCCCTGTGGCTTTGAAGTGTTCAGTAGCATTTCTGCATCAAGTCTTACATTATTATGAGAGGTGGGCATTTAATCTGGGTAGAATTTAATAATTAGAATCCAAATCAGGTTCATCCAGCTGCATGGTATTGCTTGTCACTTCCAATTGCAAAAAGGCTATAATGCTAATCTCTACTTAGTCTATTGTTTCATTAACAAAAGTTGGGCACCAAAAATCCATGCAAATAATTTATTCCAATATATTATATAACTGTACAATTTCATTTATTCACCCTCTTGAAACCCACTTTTTTCGTTTAGGGTTCCTTAAGTTTTTGCTACAGATATTCTTCAGAGTTAGGTTGTTTTTAACCTTGCCGTATCTATAGGTACAGTGTATGCCCCTTTTAATTAATTGCTTAATTTAAATAATTTAATAATTGTTATAATTATGTAATTAATTGATATTTAATTAATTTAACAATTATTTAATTATTCTGCAAGGAAGTAGGATTTTCCTACTAGGGGTCCTGCAAACCCCCTTTCCTGAGATGCAAATGCACAAAAAAAATAATAATAATGATAATAAAATTAGAGTTATTAAATAGTAAATAATAAAGTAATATTATAAAGCTATTGTATTATAAGTCTGAATTAAAAGGGTATAATTCAAAATTGAAATTTTAAATATATTGCACAAAAGTTGATTCTCGGACATCATCAGGTTAAATTTCTTGTATTAATGGCATATGAAATGATTAAGTGCTTAGGCTTATTATGTCAATTATCTTTCACTTTTGAGGCTGTGTTATGTTTTGATCAAGATTACGTGGAATTCTGAGCCTCAGTTTTGCACTCTCCATTCTCTGTGTCTCTAAGTCTTCTTCTCTACCTTCTCTTGAGTTCTTTCTGCTTGTATTTTCTCTTGTTAATGAATGAATAAATGGGAAAAACTAAGGGTTTGATACAAATTGTGGAATAGGATGGCTGGGGGAGGTGGAGACCATCACTGAAATATTGTTTTCATGAACACTATGAACATTGTTTTCACGAACACTAAGAACATTGTTTTCATGAACACTATGAACATTGTTTTCACGAACACTAAGAACATTGTTTTCACGAACACTATGAACATTGTTTTCATGAACACTATGAACATTGTTTTCATGAACACTATGAACATTGTTTTCATAAACACTATGAACATTGTTTTCATGAACACTATGACAACAAATGCCCTCAGGCCCACACTGTGGCCAGCAATCACTTCTGAATCAGCGTCCTGTAACAATGCATTCTCCTGAAATCTGTTATTAGTTGAATGTTCTTAACATTTTTCTTGCTGTCCACACTGAAGAAGTTGTATTTTATTTTGTTTTCTCCTAAATCAACTGTTGAATCAATGGCAATTAGAATAAAATAGAGGTTTTGAATGTCAAATATATCCAAAAACTGGATTGGATATTGATATAGCCTAGGGAATGAAGTAAAAATGAAAGCCATAAATCTAATCAAATGAATCTAGTATATTTTTAATCTGGATTATTAATGATCAGGGACGTTCTTTTTATGCATGCTCTGTTATGTTTAAAAGAACACTTCTCTAGGTAAATAAAAAACATGATTTTGAGTACCTATGTATAGAGATAGTTTCTTGTGGGTGTTTGGGTTTTCTAACGTTAGAACAAAGGAAGGGAGGCCCAATAAATTTTCATGTAAAGAATATATGTACCATATTGTTTGATACATTGCGAGAACTGAAAATTACTTTGTGCTACTTCATTGGCTGAATCAATGGAATGCTCTGCAAGACATTAGAAGAGTTATGAGAAATTTCACCCCAAAGAAGCTTTACCCTTTTCCAGCAAAATTGATAACAAAAATTGTTATCAGTTTTTTCCAGAAATTGTCTTTAAACATTTTTTTAATAAATTCAGATTTTTATTCCAGTGTAAACAAAAGCAATATATATTAATTATGTATATGTGGCATGTGAATGAACGCAGAACAGCCTTAATGCTGTTCGGCACCACATGCAGAGAGTTGTTGGATGAAATCAATGAATTGTGAGCCATGTGAAAATGTAATTTTGACAAACTTAAGTCATGTGCTTATATAAAGAATATAATTACAGTATATCATTGATGTGGCTTTCAGATGTGTAAATATGAGGTGTATTTTCTAATTAAGGTCCATGTTGACATAAAAAAAAAGGAATTACATTTTTAAATAATTTATTCAATTAAAAGGTCATAATTTACTCTACTTTTTTATATAATTCTCATCAATATTGAACCATTTGTCATACATTGAGACAAGCTTTTGTATGCCATTGTCCAAGAAACTTGCTGCCTGGTTTAACTATCACTGCACAATCTTTTGTATTTTGTCATCATTTGAATGGTGCTTTGCCAGATACTTTGCCAGAAATGCTTCACCATTTATTCATGCTCTTTAAGAAGCATCTGGCAAGGCAGCAACATTCCAATGCTGCTTATAATGTGATCCAAATCTGAACTAATTACTTATAGCAAGTATTTAAATGCGTTTGTGATTGTATTCTGCATGAAAATACATAATAATACTGAGGTGTGCAAAAAAGTGACAGTAGTTTCTTTGATACTTGCAATACTTTGGCTCAGTTCCGGTAATTATGTGCAGCTTCTACCCTATCAAAACTTGGATGCCTGTCAGCCGCTGGCTCAGGGTCGCCCCAAATTCTTTTTGCGGTGTAAATTAGAAGCTCTATGTCCGCTTTAGGTTCCGGTTGCCGGAGCGAAATAAGCGCCGAAAGAGAATCTTGTGAAATACCCGTCGAGCTTGGGG